CCCACTCCCACTAGACTTCGTGGGCTATATGCCACCTCTCTCACACCTAAACCCATTCATCTCTCAAGACAGTGGTCCCTGCTCTCAATTTCAAACTCCCTTTTTACATTAACTTCCTTCTTTTCATACTTATGGCATTTATTTTTTACTCGCTTTTCTTGGTGGCAGCCATAGCCAATGATTTGGACTTGCCGATGTAGGCTTCAAAGAAGAACTGGACAAAGAGCACAAAGTAGCTGAGGTACATGAGGGAGGACCAAACAATGTTCTGCATGTGGGATGGACACTCCTGGCCCTGCTGCATCCACGAGTACACCAAGTAGTTGACTACGCAGCCCATCAACATCTGTGTGATTTGGGTCAGTGTGATGAACATGGCAAATTTGCGTGACAGCTTGAAACCAGCTGCACGCAGTGCGTAGTAAGAGTACATGACAGCATGGACCAAGTAGTTCATGGTCATGAACCACCCGCCGCCAGCCACCATGTCCTTGTAGGAGTACCAGGAGTAGAGCAGCACAGTAATGTGGTGGTACCAGTGGAGAAAGATGAGCTTCTGTTTCCTCAAGACAATGAACAGAGTGTCACCTGCGAATAGGAGAGTGGAAGTTAGGAGTGGATAAGACAGGACGGAGCAGCAGAAAAAGGAACATGGTTATTATTTGTCCAACAAAAAGTAACTGGCTGTGATACAAATCACTCTCAAATATGCAAAGCTGTGTAAAAACACAAAGCTTTAGGCACACACAGAGAAGCACTGAAATGTTTGACAACTTAGGACCCAATAAACTGATAAACACAAATACAAGTGGCAGCAAAAGCAGTTTTTATTATACCATTTATCACCCATAACAAGGCTAAGGCCAATAAGTACTCTACAATAAACAGTTGCGGTAACTGCAAAAGTTAAAAAAAAACAGAAAACATGCCCTATTACAACAAAGTACAAAGTAAAGTACTGCTACAAATACAAAACACCGTAATATCAATGCTTCATATCAGTGGTTTCCAGGTTAAAAAATGTATTTTTTCTTATGAAAATTTGGGGGTTTTGTCTTCAAATTTATGTATAAATGTAAATGTACACTTACCTACATTTTTATATTTTTACATCAGTCAAACAAATTGCAATATATATATATTAGTGAATGTAGTGGCTGAATGACTTTAAATGCACAAGGAACACTAATCCTGCAGTAATTGCAGTATGTTAAACAGTTGGGATTTTAACACAAAGCATGATTAACTCAAGCATAATAGAGACTTTTATTAACCAAGTAAGCTTCCACTAGTCACATATTTACCAAGGTCACACTGACACCGCCATGCTTACTGTCATGTAACCTTCAGACCCCAAGTTCCATTCTAAGCCAGGAAACCAGTCAGTGACAGCACAAAGTACTGTTTTGGTGTTATATTTATACTGCTAGAATTTGCCCTATTATGCACATAATAGGGCATTTGTGGGAATTTCTCTTTTACAATGCAAAATTATGAATTACTTAATCATTCAAACATGATTATTATTTATATTGATTTATTAAGGCTTGCAGCAGCCAGTTTACTACAAATAAACCTGAGTTTACCGTTATAAATTTTATATTATTTTCCACCTGATTTTGCTGCGATAGTTGTAGTGTTAATTCACCTGGAATTACAGATGAAGATGTTGTCCATATGAGTGTGTATTGGCAAAAGTGGATGGCTAAAAGATGTGAGCACGGTGCCAAAAATTTGGCTTCTGACCTTTAGCTCTTAAATGAGTACTCAACTCAAATCCTTAAAGCCAAGCCATACATATTTTTGGTCCTGATAATAGTGGTATTTTGATGAAACAGCGCAGAACTTCATATGTGTCTTGTGTTCGTTTTTAGAATGTGCAATGGGGTTGCAGTGTCTCGAATTTTTAGTGACATATCTAGAGAGACATCCACCCATGACAAAAAGGTCTCTGTCCACCTTCTTATGTTTCCCTAAGCCGCCTGAACCTTTCTGTCCCTAGTAGATACAGAAACAACCAAGTCTCCAGTTTCCAGACTTCACAACATGATAGTTTGGACATTAGCCAGACAGAGAGAACATGGCATCTGCCACTCTTTATTCCTGCTGAGAGGAACAACTGCTCTAGGTTTAGGCTTGAAGATCTGATACTAGGTAGATAAAGATGAGCAAAAATAAAATTGTGTTCACACAAAATCTTTAAAAAGAAGTGTACTGGTGGTGGCCAATTGTATCCATCAGCCTCCTAGCAGATACACCTATTGTATCAATTTCAAAATTGTAGGTGACTTTCTTCTTCAGTCATCACATTCAGACGATTTTCAGAAACCCTGACCCCTGACCTTAAGACTGAGGTTTCTGGGATTTAAACTCATCCAAGATTATTAGTAAATACACTTTTAGTATTAGTTTGAAGGAAGTATGCCGCTTGGTTCTTGAATTATCAAATTCACAAACTTGGGTGTCCATGTTGACCACCTGCCTGACGGGGTGACGACATTACATCATCAGCCTTTTACGGTATTTGCAGTATTGTAGAAAAAAATATGCAAAAGATAATTAAAATAAATAAATAAATGAAATCAACTTACCCAGCTCTGGTGCTTTACTGAGTACAAAAGCATACGCCCAGAATTTGCTGACAGGCCCGTTGTAGAAGCTCTGGTCACAAACTGACTGTTTTAGCCCTTTCGTCATCAGGATGTACATCATGTAACTCCCAGTACGGATGGCACCAAAAATACTACATGGGGGTGAGGAGGACATACATATACGGACAATAATTTGTGTTAAAAGTGTGAAAGTGCTTCCCACATTATAGCTAAAATGTTTGTATTTCTAGCACTTTCTACAAGGCTGAGGTTTTCTTATTGTGCACATTGCTACTGTTTCTAGTTGTTGTGAAACGCAGCTACGTTTGACGACTGAAGTCAGTTTATATTAAATAATCATTAAACAAATGTTAACCCTCTTACCTGAATACAGCAAGGGTGAGTGACCACAGCACCAATGGTTTCCTCAACTCAAATTTCTCCCTTTGTTTCATGACATGGCGGCCCCCGAGGATACAGGCAGCATAGAGTGCAGAGAAGAGAAAGGACTTCTTCCTGCAAGCAACAAAAAGAGAAAGCATGA